CCCTGATGCAGGGGGCCCAGGTTTGATCCCTGGTCCAGGAACTAGATCCCACATGTTGCCACTAAGACTTGGAGCAGCCAAGTTATTTAACTGAATAGAAAAGGAAATATGACTGCATAATAGTCATTCTTTTTCAAAAGATTTTATGATCAAACATCCTTAATAATTTACATGTGTCTGGTTCTTGCACAGTTACTTTCACATACCCTATCATGTTTCATTTTAGAGTAACCCTGTCAGAGAGTGACTATTAAGTCCATTTTATAGATGAAGAAGCTGAAGCTTGAAAAAGTCACCTAAGCTCACAATAGCAAATGGCAGAGGCATCGCTGGAATCCAGATCTTCTGATTCAATGAATAGTTTTCCTCCCTCTGATCAAGTTGCCACTTGGAGAATACAAAAGAAATGTTAGTTCTGTAGTCTTGTCCTCTCACAATTTAAAGCTTTGTTAAAAAGAAAAGATAAAAGGCTCCCCTGATAGCTCAGTAGTAAAAGAATCTGCCTGCCAGTGCAGGAAACAAGGGTTCAATCTTGGATCCGGGAAGATCCCACATGCCACAGAACAACTAAGCCACAACTACTGATTCTGTGCTCCAGAGCCCAGGAGGCACAACTACTGAAGCCTGAGTGCCCTAGAGCCCATGCTCTCCAACAAGTGAAGCTACCAAGATGAGAAACCCTGGTAGGGCCACTAGATAGTAGTCCCCCCACACCCCACCCCAGCCCCTCATCCAACTCTACCCCACCCTGCTCTCTGCAACTAGAGCAAAGCACGAGAAAAGACCCAGCACAGCCAAAACTAAAATAAGTAACTAAAAATTTAAAAAGAAAAGATATAAGTAAACAAAGTAGGTCATTAATGATAGCTAGCACTTTATTCTCATGGAAACAAAACACCAGTGTGGATAGTAAAGGCCATAGAAATTTAGAGATGGAAGAGATTTGCTTGTACTAGAGAAAAACTTCACCAAGGACAAGGGGTTTTAGTGGAGGAGTTTAATATGGATTATGAGAGAGGAGGAACTGTTCCTTTGAAAGATACAGAAAAAATCATGAGCAAAGTTTCAAGTCAGGAGGCACAACATATTTTGGAAACAGAAATGAGACTATAGGACCTAATGGTGGTTCTAACTTGACAGTTTTTCAACTTTGTAATGGTGCAAAAGTGATATGCATTCAGTAGAAACCACATTTCAAATTGTGAAATTTGCTCTTTTTCCACACTGGCGATATACAGTAGATACCCCCTCCTGTTACTAGGCAGCACCAGTGAGACACAGCTGTCAGTCAGCCCCACAATCACGAGAATAAACAACCAACACAGTTACCACCATTCTGCATCCATACAACCATTCTGTTTCTCACTTTCAGTACAGATTCAACAAATTTCATGAGAGAGCAACATTTTACTAAAAATCGGCTTTGTGTTAGATGATTTTATTGAAAAGTAGACTAATAAAAATATTCTGAGTACTTTTAAGCTAGGCTCGGTTAAGCTATGATGTTTGGTAGGTTAGGATATTAAGTCCATTTTCAACTTACAATATTTTCTGTTGACCATGAGTTTATCATAACCCCATAATAGTGGAAGATCTGTACTTGGATTCAACAGAATGTCCATGCTGCATCCCAAAAGAACAACTAAAGGCAAAGTACTCTGGTCATTGGTGGGAGGAATTTAAGTTTGATACCATATGTAATGGAAGGTCATTGGAGATTTCTAGACAAGGCATTGACCCATAGAAATGGATATTCATAGAGGCAAATCCAGCCTCTGGAATAAATATAGTCAGACTTATTTTACCTTTCCAATTTGTTGATAGAAACTGTATCTGCCTTAGCAGGAAGTCTAGCATCTCTCTCCTAAAAATGGCATCCCATCCTAACCCTGATTTATCCAAGAATTCTAAGAGCTTTCACAGTTCAGTTCAGGGGGTCATTTGTTCTCATAAATGTTAGGAGAAGGAGAAGACGGAAAGACCCATCAATCTACTGGGCCTATAACTGGGTTCACTGTCACAGAATTCCTGAACTACCTAAAAGATGAGTATCAGGGACTTCCCTGACAGGCCAGTGGTGAAGATTCTGACCTTCCAATGGGAGGGATTGGGTTTGATCCTTGGTGTGGGAACCAAGTTCCCACATGCTGTGTGGTGTGGCCAAGAAAATCAAAATAAATAAACTAAAAGACAAGTATCAGTGTGGTAAGCATTTTATTTATTTTATTTTATTAATTAATTAATGTGGGATCAGTGACATCCATACTGGACCAGATTTCAGTCATGGCCACAGTGTTTCCCCACACTTGCATCTCAATATTATACCTCTTTAATCCTCACATACTTAGCCATTGTCCCAAGAACCTTGTGCCAGGGCAACTAGATCTGAAAAGCCATCCACAACCTGACATTCAGCATCAATCTGCCCTCCTTTAACACTTGATCCATCTATTAAACCCAGAGCAATAGCCATTCAGCCCTTCCCTTGAGGTCTTTCTAATAAGACTTAGCTCCCTGGGTTGTTCTGAACATTAAGCGTGTCAACATATGTAAAGAATTTAGACCATCTGGTACAAAGCAAGTTCTCACTGAATGTTATTATCATGATTATTACATTCAAGACTACATCTCAAGAGGGTGGAAAACATCTTAAGAGATACAGGCTAAGCATAATATTGTTTTCAAAATGATTTCTAGCTCTTATTAGTGCCTTAGAACCAGAATTTGGTCACTGTCCCTTTTCCATAGCAAACACTGAGCACAGCCAGTAGGCAAATATTCAGTCTAGGTAATCATTAAAAATGAGAATGGATGAGTCAGAATTTCCAATCCACACTAAGCTATATGTGTTATAAATAGGCTTTCTGTAATGGAGTAAGCAAGTCACAACAAGGCAACTTTAGTTAAGAAAAAGAATTGCGTTTAAAAAAAAGAGTTGTAGAGTGAAGGATGGAATCACTTTATAAAGAATAAAATACAATTAATATACTATATGGATTTTCTGTGCTGATACTTAAACATATAAGTCCCTTTTCTTATCTCGCCTTCCAAACTTCACTTAAGCTCTGCATATTAGTGCACACCAGTGAAACTAACCTCCTCAAAGAATACGCCAAGTATTTCTGCCATTAAGAACCATGAACAGGACTCAGATGGGGCATATTTCCTCAAAGAAATCTTGATGGGTGAGCATTCAGGGCTACCATGCTGTGCTGTACACGCTGCCTTTGAACGGACCTTCATTATTTGTAAATTACCCTCTCACTCAGGGAAGTAATGACCTAATGGAGCTGCTTCCTGAGGATTAACCATTCGGAGGAGGGGAGGATTTTAGGAGCTACTAGCCCTTTTTCTCCTCCTCCTCTTCAGGAAATGCCGGGCCCTTTAACAGGTATTACCTAAGTGAATACTGCCAGTCATTTAATTTCTGTTAACCTCAACTCCCCACTTTTATCCTTGCACTGAAACAATAGTTTAATTAAAACATTTTATTCCAAATCCTTTTCCCACTGCCTTCCAATTTCATTCTCTATCCCAAAGACAGCAGTATTTAGTGTTAAGAAACTTTGATCTAAAGCATCACTTCTCTTTTATTAAGAATTTATTTTCCTTCATTAGGGCTCTTTAGTGACACATCACGACTATTTTCTTTATAATATTTCACTGGGTTTTAGTAATAAAGCTGCCTTGGTAACGAAGAAAGTAATACTACAATCAAGCGTGACTGTGGGTGTCTGCCAGTCATACAGAAACAAAAGAAGAAAGCTCTGGAACAGAACATGAAACTTCCTGAGTTTGCTCTGTAGGTGGTTTGCCTGCCTACCCCGAATCCCTGACTGTGACAGCACGTTTCCGCCCGTGCCCTGGCTGCCAGCACCTGTCACCCCTTCCTCTCCCCCAGTGTGACTCCACGGGGCTCACTGTGGATTCATGTGTCTGAGGCTGTATGTCTTTCCACCCTCCGGGGACGGCGACTGACAAAGCAGGGATGACTGACAAGAGATGTAATGTCCCTGTTTCAGAAGGTGTTTTAAATTCCAAAGGAATATCTGTGAGCTGGAAAGGAAATGCTGGGGGGCCCAGCGTCTGATGAGCAGCTGATCACACTCTGGATGTCGTCATCATGGTGTGTCGTCTAAGCAACGGGTTTGGAATAGCTAGACTCCCTGGAACCGGAGGGTCAGAACCAGGCAAAATTAGCTCAGCTTTTCATCGGGGTAATGACTGTAATATTCTGCATTCCCTGGAGTACTTTATAGTCACGGATCTTAAGGGGAGTTTGCCGACAATTAATCTCAGCAGAGGCCTGTGAGTTTCAGCACGGACAATGCCTCTCATTTACTTCTTTCTAATCTATGGTGTGCGCTCATGTGAACTGCTTGCAAGAACCAAACCTAGAAAACCATCATAGTGGCACCAATATTGCACCTTCTAAGAAACGATTCTATCGATCCCTCAGGCGTCCATGCTAAGTCTAAAAGTGGAGAAGCACATGCAGAGTGGCTTTAAATCAGAGCCTTTACCAAGAGTGAGAAATGCACCAAACAGCCCAGTAGTCCCAGTTACGAGCTTGAAATCTGAACACCTAGAAACCAGGCCTGGGACTGACCAGTCTTCTGTGAAATGTGCTATCAGCAAAATACTCTTTTAGATCCAAATAATATTCCTGAGAGAGAAAGAGAGAGATCAACAAAACAAAAAGGATAATTTCACAAACATGGTGAAAATGGCAGTTTTCTCAGGAAAGTTTATTATCAGTAGTTTTCACTGTGAACAGAAAAGAAAGGATCACAGAGTCATAGGGTTTTAGAGCAGGAAGGGGTCTTGGTTAGCATCTAAACTTTTACCAAAACAAAAATGTAGACTAACTTCCCTCTCCCCCACCCCCAACTATCAGCCTGTTAAGAACACGTTTCCAGACTTCCCTGGTGGTATACAGTGGATAGAAATCCTCCTGCCAATGTAGCAAACACAGGTTTGGTCCCTGGTCTGGGAAGATTCTATGTCGCAGAGCAAGTAAAGCCCAAGCTTGCAACAATTGAGCATGTGTGCCTCGAGCCTGCGCTCTGCAACAGGGCAGCCACTACAATGAGACGCCCATGAACCACAACTAAGAGCAGCCCCTGCTCGTGGTAACTAGAGAAAGCCCACTCCAGCAACGAAGACCCGGGTGAGAGGGTAACAGGCAGGAAGGCCAGGGGTCTCCAAACGGAGGAAGGAGGCTGCAAGGGCCAGACATTTTTATCTTTCTTAAGCAGCAGGAGGAAACAAACCAGAGATATTTTTTCTTCTCTATGCAAATTTAAAAGGAGGTTTCTCTTAAAATGCTGTGTTGCCATGACACCTGGTTTCACCTGAAGCTAACTACTCTCAAACCTTGAGTTAACCAATACATTTCTTTTTCTTATGGAAATGTTGTCTTAAGCTATGACTCTATCTTCAAGTTGGTTCCGCCAAATGGCCCAACCTACTTACTCAGATTGTGAGTGACTATATAACAATAATGTATCCTGCCTGAGGACAGTCTTTGGATTAAACCTTCTGGCCAACTCTGTTATCTTAAAATGTAAATTATGGGAGCAGGTCTGGTGAGGTCTTTACAACCTCCAGACATTCTTTGGATTCATTGGAGAGTATATAACTCCATTGCTAACACTAGCAAAGGGGGTACTCTTTTGCCCCCTTCTGATGCCTATGTCAGAAGCTTTCTCTATCTCCTTTATACTTTAATAAAACTTTATTACACAAAAGCTCTGAGCGATCCAGCCTCGTCTCTGGCCCCGGATTGAATTTGTCTCCTCTGGAGGCCAAGAATCCCAGCGTCTTATCGTTCAGCAACAACTTTTCAAGGGGCAACCAAAAATGAAATATATTATTAAAAAAAAAAAAGAAGAAGAAGAAATGATTTCCACTCAAGGAGAAAGAAGCAAGTAGGATCAGGACACAAACATTTTCTGGGGAGAGCAGAGCTTTGTGGGATTCCCTCGTGATGAAACTGGCCACAGGGATCAAGATGCTGAAAGAGAAAATAAGAACAGTGGAAGGGCAGATGAAATGAAACCAAATCAGTATCATTTTATTTCCCAGATTCTGCTAGATGTTCCTTGACTCTACCCTGGAAAGTAACAAACAAAAATGAGGATCCCAGGTCTAAAGTGAATTCAACAAATTATAATCCAATGTCAAATAAAATTGCCACATGCATTTCTGGGGAACCTCAAAGGTACTCCATAAGATGTGGCAATATATGCTTTTTGCCAAATATAGATTCGGCCCTATGTTCCCTCATAATAATGTTAAATAAAATGTGAATGAATAGAGAATTAATACAACTTGGAGGCAGGGTTCTACCAGCTTTCCACAAATTTCCTTACAAATTTAGGACTGTAAAATATAAAACTAAAAATGTGTTCTATTTGACAATTAAAGTCTGCCATTTTCCAAACTCTTTGACAAGGCTACAGTCTCACACTGCTTCTAAAAATTCCTTTCACAGTTGCCTCTATAGAAGTTTATGCTCTGCACTATTCTTAGCTCTCAGCTAGGTCTCAGCAGTTGGAGAATTCCAGGGAGTCCTCAATGCCAAATTCCAGGACACAAAGCTAATACCACTGTTTTAAACTTCTCTTTTTAAAACAAATGCATGATTTTAGGTTTTAGTTATCAAACGAATGCTGCTTTTAAATATAATGTAAGCTAAAACAAATATTTTTCTATAGCAAACTGAAAACAGCAACCATTTCAATGAAAGCTTACGGCAGAGGTGGCAATGTAGGTGATAAATATAATATGCATATTTATATACATCATTTAAAAATAAGCTTTAGATTTAATATGTGATTCCTGCACCAAACTTTCAAAGAAAAATTGATATTTCATAATAGAGCAATATGATCATTAAATTTAATAGGCTATACTAAATTTCTCAAATTCCCAGAGTAACTTATGATCAAATATTGATCAAATAATAATTGAGCATCTAAATGCTTATGAATAAAGCAGTCAAAAATCCCAGACTTCATGGAGCTTACATTCTCCCAATGCATGGGGCACAGGCTCAATCCCTAAATGGGAAACTAAGATCCTGAGTGCAAGACAAAGCAGTCAAAAATAATAATTAAAAATGTTTAAAATTAAGTAATTAAATTAAAAACAGTGAAATTATATAATATATAGAAGTATATAGTATATTAGAAGGTGGCAAACACTACATAAAAATAGAACAGGTGAGACAATCAGGGTGGAGATGCTTTATAATTTTAAATAGAGGGACTTAGGTGTACATAATTGAGAAAGTGATGTTTGAAAGGCTCTCAGAAGTAAAAGAGCTGGCCATGTGGGTTTCTAGGGAAAGATCATTCCAGACAGAGGCCTGTGTAAAGGTCCTGAGGTAGAGCACATCAGCTGTGTAAGTAGGAGGGAAAAAGCAGAAGATGAGGTCAGAGATTATTAGGGGCTCAATTCATGCAGGGCTGTGTAGGCTGTTGTTAGTATTTTGGCTTTTACACTGAAGGTTATATGCAGAAAAGTGGTGTGATTTGCCTTATGCTTTACAAGGATCGATCCTTGTTGAAACAAATGGTAAGAAGCAAGGATGGATACAGGAAGACCAATGCGGGGTGAGAAACAGAGGGCTTGTATGGGGTGCCAATGATAGAGGTGATAAGAACTGATCGGATAAAGCATAAAGTTTAAACATAGGGCAAACAAGATTTTTCAACTGATTGGATATGGGGCAAGAGAGAAAAAGATCAAGGGTATCCCTTTTAATTGCTCAGAACTTGATTCAGAATCAAGTTCTGAGCAGTTAAAACAGTGATGTTTCCATCAACTGAGAAGGAGACAAATGGAAAGGAAGTATTGCAGCAGTGAAGACCAAACATTCAATTTTGGATATATTGTTTGTGATATGGATTAGCTCTTTGAGTGGAGATTTCAAGACGGCAGCAAATAGAGGCAACTATTTCAAAGAGTTTTGCTGCAAAAGAAAGCAAAGAAATGGAGTGGTAACTAGCAAGAAGAGTGGACTGAGTAGAAAGCTTTGGTTTTCACTATTTGTTTTAAGACACAAAATATAATAAATGGTATATTTGTATATTGGTAATAATGTTCCAAGAAAGTGGAAAACTGAGGAAGCAGAGGGAGGGAAGAATTGTTGGGACTACCATCCTTGGTGTGCTACAGTCCACGGGGTCTCAAGGAGTCGGACATGAGTTGGTGACTAAACAACAATAACAAAATGATCTTTGGCAGGAAAAAAGGATGGGCTCCATCACACAAATGGGAAGACTAGCTTTCTAAGGAGAAACAATAGAAGCATATGTTTAGGGTCAAGCTAAAGGATGCAGATGCTGAAGACAGATATAAATGGGGGTTAGAGACTGGAGAACTTTCCTTCAGATGTGACTGAGGATGATAGGGGAGGTATTTGAGGTTTGAGGAGAGATATGAAAACTGGGAAAGCTAGTAGACTAGGAAAACCATTTCCAGGAATCATTCCATTTCCAGGAAATAACAAGCATCAGAGGCCCACGTGAAGTAGGTAGTCAATTTACAGTGGAACAAATCAGTGCAAATTATATAGTGAGGCAAGGTTTTTTTTTCCCTCTCTTGTCCTGCTCTGACTCGCTGGTGTAGGTATGTAGGAGACAAATGGATTGGAGGCTTTTATGAGGAAGAACACTGAAGTCAAAACAGGCAGGGAAATATACACAGGTGTGATACCCTGTTTGCAAATGGAATTCAAGCTTGATCAAGAGTGAAGAGAGGTCATAGAGAGGGTGACAGTGAAAAGGTAAGTGAGATCCATCGTTTGAAGATCTAGGTAAAATCAAACTGTTGGAATTGCAGTTCCAGAAGGAGGGAGGTAGAAAGTAGGAACTAATGGTCAGAGAGGCGGAAGAGATGATGAAGACATTACAATTATGGGTAATGACAAGATTCAGAATAATAATCTTTTTACTCACCCAGAAAAAATTACTATAGAGAAGAAACATAGAATGTGACCAGAAGAAAATAAGAAAGGATTAAACACAGAACTGTTGGAAGAATCTGCAGCTTTTCAGAAACAACTGCTAAACTGCTTCTTTGAGAAGTCTAGTGCCTCAGTTATCTACCCCTGAGTAGGAACTGTAATCATTAGACTACTCTCATGCTTTCCTATCTCTGGCCTTAGATATGAGGAAGAAGAAGTTCTGGGTAGAAAAATGAAAAGATGGAGTAGAAATTTTGAGTGATATTCACACCAGCATTATTTTTAATAACCAACAGTGGAAACAGCTGAAATATCCATCAGCTGATGAATAGATAAGTAAAATATAGTATGTTCAAACAATGGAATATTATTTGGCCACAAAAATGTATGAAGTCCTCATATATGCTACAACATGAATAACCTTAAAAACATTTTGCTAAATAAAGGTCAGAAACAAAAGGCTATATATTGCATGCTTCCATTAATAGGAAATGTCCAGAACAGGCAAATCTATACAGACAGAATTGTATCAGTGGTTGCCTAGGGCTACACATACAAGAAGACTGAGGGTGATGAAATGGATAAAGGGTATGGATTTCTTTTTGAAGTAATAAATATGTTCTAAAATTGATTGTGGTGATAGATAAACAACAGTGAATATATTAAAATTTCACTTTAATGGGTAAATTATATGATATGTGACTTATATTTCCATAAAATTGTTTTAGAAAAAAAGAAATTTCAAATGAGTTTTGGTGAGCCTTGCCCAGCTGGAGGACAGAATTAAAATAGATTCCAGGAAAGAAACTTTTGGAAAACATTTAAAAGAGCTTTATCATTCTTGGAATTTGACCTAGTGAAAAGTGAAGTCACTCAGTCGTGTCTGACTCCTTGTGACCCATGGACTGTAGCCTACCAGGCTCCTCTGTCCCTGGGATTTTCCAGGCAAAAATACTGGAGTGGGTGGCCATTTCCTTCTCCAGGATATCTTTCCGATCCAGGAATTGGACCCAGGTCTCCCGCATTGTAGGCAGACGCTTTAACGTCTGAGCCGCCAGGGAAATCTACACCATGGGTGTGTGTGTGCGTGTTCAGTCATCTCCAGCTCTCTGCAACCCCCTGAACTACATGTAGCCTACGAGGCTTCTCTATCCATGGAATTTTCCAGTCAAGAATACTGGAGTAGTTGCCATTTCATACTCCAGGGGATCTTCCCAATCCAGGGATGGAACCCGAGTCTCTTGGGTCTCCTGCATTGGCAGGCAGATTAGCACTGCACCACCTGGGAAGCCTGTAATACATCATGGAGCTCTCTTACATCAGCCCTGTCTCCACCTTGGGGCTCCCCAGCAGAGACATGGATCA